GCTTCGCAGTAAAGCACAACCTCTTTCTTTCAAAATATCACCAAAGCCTCTGTCTTTCAGTTTCGAAGTCCGGTTCTCAGCACTCTGGAGAACCTTTCTGTATGCTTCAAAACTCGTGACATCGGTCACAGGGCGATTCACAACGAGTGAACTACTATTATCTTGAGAACATTCATCCACCCTTAAGCTCCCATTTTTCATACTAACAACCTCAGAAAACAATCCATTTCCCATCTCTGCCACCTCGTCCACCTCCATAGCCACGTTTCCGAGACCCTCCCTACTTGTATCATCAGATATCATTTCCACATCTCCAAGCTCATCACCAACATCAACCACTTCTCTATCCGTTCTATAGCGCAAAGGCAAATCAAGTGCATTTCTTTTCAACATATCATCGTTCCTTGTGAGAAAAGTTCCCAACACATTACCAGAACCTTGTCGTGTGCTACGATCTCGACCGCTCTTGAGGATCCGCGAAGGCGCATGAACTTGTCTCCGCAATGGAGACTTCACTTCTGGGTAACGGTAAATTCCTGGAGCCATGGTTCTTGATGAATGTGAGAAACTGGAGTTTTTACAAGGGTTTAAACCGGAATTGCGTTTGTGGTAACTGCTCATGCCATCCATTGGTCTGAAACACAAGGAACCATAACCTTAGAAATTCAAAGTTGGATCCCACAAAACTGAAAGGTCAAAATCCCCCAATTCAGAGTTCAAAACCCTAGATTGATTTTCAGGCAATAACTCTCGGAAGCAAGCAAGTTTCAATGTTTCATTAAACTCACCGGCGTTTCCGATTCGCGACGCTCCCGATACACAGATTCCGACCCGGACAATAGACCCGGGCGGGTTTTGTTTTGGAAGAGAGATAGGTCAAACTCAAATCTGTTGACTTTTCTCATACCCTCTAGCCGTAAAGGAGGTTTCTGGGTCTTCTTATTCGGCTAAACCTATGTTTTGCTTCTCGTTAAACCCTCTATACTCACTCACTCGTCTCTTGAAAGCTGGGCTTTTCACTTCAGAATTTCGTTAAAAATAAAAGCTTTGATTTTTTTAGTTGAAATCTGCTTCAGTCGATCGTGTTAAACCTTTGAGATAAATCGGCGGTTTGGAACAGGACAATCAGGAAGATGCGGATGCTATTAAGACCAGGTAATCTGTGTATGCGCATTTCAGTGTTTGATCTGCTAGATTTTGAGCTGAATTCTGGTCGTTTCTTTATAGTATTGTAGCTTATATATTGATGAATCCTATATAAACTATTCTATGGTGGGATTCGCAAGAACAAAATTTGTTTTTGTTTCTTCGCTCATTAGTAGTATAAATTAGTTTGATCCTCATTTGTGTTATTTTTTTCTTACACTGCAGGAATTATATTCCATACAGATATAAAATCATCTCGTGTTGTCGCAGTTTGTAAGCACTTATCATCTTTGTCTGATAATGGCGAAAATCATGAGAAACCATATACATTTGAGGGTAATAGGCAAATTGTTAATGATATTTGCAATGTTTTGGAGACTGGTGCTTGGGGATCTTCAGCTGAGAATGCCCTATCTGCTCTATTCTTTAAACCACAACCAGAATTTGTCATTGGGGTTTTAAGGAGGCTGAAAGATGTTAATCGTGCGATTGAGTATTTCCGTTGGTATGAGAGAAGAACCGAGCTGCCTCATTGTCCCGAATCATACAACTCCTTGCTTTTAGTGATGGCTCGTTGTAGGAATTTTGATGCTTTGGACCAGATTCTTGGAGAAATGAGTGTTGCAGGATTTGGCCCTTCTGTTAACACTTGTATTGAGATGGTTTTGAGCTGCGTTAAGGCTAATAAGCTTAGGGAAGGTTTTGATGTTGTGCAGAATATGAGGAAGTTCAAGTTCCGACCTGCTTTTTCAGCTTACACAACTCTTATCGGTGCTTTCTCAGCAGTTAATCATTCTGATATGATGTTGGCACTCTTTCAGCAAATGCAGGAGTTAGGATATGAGCCAACCGTTCATCTTTTTACAACATTGATTCGGGGCTTTGCCAAAGAGGGTCGAGTTGATTCTGCTCTATCTTTGCTTGATGAGATGAAGAGCAGCTCTCTTGATGCCGACATTGTTCTTTACAATGTATGTATAGATAGCTTTGGTAAAGTGGGCAAGGTTGATATGGCATGGAAATTTTTTCATGAGATTGAAGCGAATGGTTTAAAGCCTGATGAAGTCACTTATACCAGCATGATAGGAGTTCTGTGCAAGGCAAATAGATTGGATGAAGCTGTAGAGATGTTTGAGCATTTAGAGAAGAATAGACGGGTCCCTTGCACTTATGCTTACAACACGATGATTATGGGTTATGGTTCGGCTGGAAAATTTGATGAAGCATACAGTCTCCTAGAGAGACAAAGGGCAAAAGGGTCTATACCGAGTGTGATTGCATATAATTGCATTCTTACATGCTTAAGGAAAATGGGAAAAGTGGATGAAGCTTTGAGAGTATTCGAGGAGATGAAAAAAGACGCTGCTCCAAATCTTTCAACCTATAATATTCTCATTGA